TGCCGCCTGATCCTCAGTGAAGACGGGTCCCAGCTGGTGCACCATTTAAAGGGCCACCAGGCACTATGGTCCCATTCTCAATGTTAAAGGGCGCACTGCCCACATTAAAGATGGCGCCGGCATGCGTGTGATGTCACGATATCGACGCACGCGGTCAAAGGCAATGTAATAATCACATCAAAGGCATATTTAAACCCTATAATGCCTTTTCTCAGTGCCCTGTCATGGTTTCCACTTGTTGGTTGTCAGAGAGCACGTGCTAGTTGATATTGTATTTCTGTTTTTTGACTTTAGCTTATGTTTTTGACTTTCCCTACTTCTGGTATCCTGACTCTTGGCTAGTTTATTTGTATGGTCTCATTCTGTATCCCCGACCTTGGCTTGTTTTTTTGACCATTCTCTTTTACGATAAGTCCAGCCATTCTAAGGTCCGATATACGTTGTTTGTGTTAATATTTTTGCGTGTTGAGTCACATAGTAATCGTGACAGTTTGATGATCTGAGAAAAAGTGAAGAACACACTCATAGTATGTAAATGCATGTCTCCTTAAAATAAATTTGCTCTTTTGTTTACTTTAAAGCCATAAGAGCGTGAGGATGCCCGATGTCAGTGAGTCACCTTTTTTTTATACTGTACTTTTCTATGAAAACTGATGTTTTGGGGGGTTTTTTGCGGCCCACATAAGCTTAAACCTTGTTTATTTGGCCTGTGTTAGCTTTTGAGTTTGACATGTTTGTTCTAGATAACTGTAGCTATCTGTAAAAATGAACATGTTTGGGGGCGGGCCTGTCTGTCATGCCGAACAGACGCATCTTGTATGTGCTCCGGCAGTTAATCTCATAACGACAGCTTTTACAATACTTTGCAACCTCTCTGAGGACCCTTACAAAGCTTGGGGTGCTCCTACATAAATCAGGGTGATACAGGAGCATGTTCGATGTCCCCGGAGGTCCACACATCCGACGAACTGAGAGCAGGCCTGGTGGTCTAGTGAGTCCAGGGATAGCGTCCGATCTCCGATCCTGACCTGTGCAGCCAACTGGTGCCCCGTTCCCCCCCCACCCTCTGGACCGGTGGGGGTGATCCCGGTCTACCCTCTGAAGACTTCCATACCCTGATAACTGCGCGGCATACCTGCTGCAAACAACAGGAATCTAAGCAAGCACAAGATGGTGGATGCCGCATGCCACTCTGACTCTTGCAGAGACTTCGCTGAAGATCTGTACCACTCAGGTGAACTGTCCACATTCCTCTGGTCATGGCTGGTGGCATTATTGTAACCCACTGTATGCCTGACTGGCACTGAATTCCTGCGAGCAGAGTCATAGTTTCCCTGTTTCAAGCAGACGCCCCAACTGAGAGCCTGCCGACCTAACCTATCCTGCAGTTCATCTATCCCTCTTTTCTTTCCATCTCTGGTCTGTTTGGGGTGTCCATCTCTGGTCTGTTTGGGGTGCCTCCTTGGGTTTCTAACTTGCAATTCTTTACTACTCACTTATCTGTGGTGCACACAATCTGTTTAACCCCTGCTATAATAACAACTTAAATCTGCACTACTTCTGTCCTTTATCTCTTATAAAAATGTGCTGATGAATCAATACATTTATTATGTCTAACTGGACAAACCTATATCTATTAAGTGTTATGCAATCTATGTTAATAGCATGCACAACAAAAATAAAGAATATATATTTTTTAAAATGAACGTTTTATATATTGAAAAATATAGGAATAACTCTTAATCTTAGCTGAAAATATGGGCAAATATACAATTAATTTAATAAAATTTTATTTTATTATTTATTAATAAATTGCATGTTACCCTAATATATACCCATCACTTTTAAACAAAAACATCCTAATATTTTATTTAACTTATGTTAATCCGGTTGTTACTTATTTTCTGAATATGTATTTTTTCATGTTAGATTTTATATATTTTATATTTTATTTAATAATTTTTGCTGCAGGACTCTCTGCACTGGAAACAATGTAAGTACAATAGTTTGAGCTTTAATTTCACGTCAGCACATGGGCATTGTCAGATGTCAGAACAAAGAAACTTATAGTTCTGAAAATTGTCACGGCTTCTAGTGTGGTCCAACACGCAGAAACTATGTAAACATATACATAAAAAAAGGAAGGAAATAAAAGGACAGAGCGTAAACCGGACCTTAGAATGGCCGGACTAATATGCTAGAGATAGAGAATGGTCAAAGGGAAATCTGAGGTCAAGGAAGCCAGAAATACTCAGATAACGTTTAAACAAGCCAAGTCAGGGGAAACAGAATTCGGAATAACCAGGGAAAAGCCAAGATCAGGATTCCAGGGAGTCAGATTCACAAAGATAAACGCACTCTCGGGAACCAGGAACAGGAAACTACGACAGGGCAAGGAACTGGAGTGAATTAGGGATTTAAATATCCCTCTGACCACAGAACGTGCGCGTGCGTTGACGTCGTGACGTCACGCGCACGTCGGTATAAATTTGAGGGGCGGAGCTTGTGGTGTGCGCGACCACGTGGTCAGCGCCATCTTTGATTTGGGTGCAACGCCCAGAAGATGCGGAGGAGCGATTCCCGGCTCGCCGGCGAGCAGGTAAGCTCGCAATATCGGCGAGGTCGTGAAGGAGCCGGCTTATGAGGGAAGCGGTTGTGAAACGACCGGATAAGACGGGGCGCATGAACCTTGTCAGCAGGAACCCAACAACGTTCCTCTGGACCATATCCTTTCCAGTCAACTAGATAAGACAAAATACCTCTGGAGAATTTGGAGTCCAATATAGAACGAACTTTGTACTCCTCCTGATCACCCACTACCAAGGGCGGAGGAGGGGCAGCCACTTTAATGTATCGATTGCAAGTAAGAGGCTTAAGCAAGGACACATGAAATGAATTGGCAATTCTCATGTGAGCAGGAAGTGCCAATGAATAAGTCACAGGGTTGATACGACGGAGGACCCGAAAAGGACCTATGTACCGAGGGGCAAATTTAATGGAAGGAACCTTAAGTTTGACATGACGTGTCTCCTGGTTGATAGACAGGATTGGCACCCCGTCTCTTGTCAGCTTGGATTTTAGAACGTTTTGATGCCTTCTGTAGTGCTGTATGAACGGAATCCCAAGTGTCATGAATAGAATCCAAATGGGTCTTCAAGGCAGGAATATCAGTGTCTGAAAATTTAGAAGGTAAAACAGTGGGGTGATAACCCTGATTTACAAAAAATGGACTATGATTAGAGGATTCATGAGTCGCATTATTTCTGTCAAACTCAGCCATGGGTAAGAGTTCGTACCAGTTGGCATCTATAAAACAACGTAAATAAGATTCTAAAGACTGATTGGCCCTCTCAGCTGCGCCATTAGTCTGAGGGTGATATGCTGAGGAAAAAGAAAGTTCTATACCCAGTTGCTTACAAAAGGCACGCCAGAACCTAGAAATAAATTGGGTACCTCTGTCAGATACTATGTTTTTTGGCACTCCATGTAACCGAAAGATCTCTTTAAAAAATATTTGTACAAGATCTTGAGCAGATGGTAATTTTTTAAGAGGTACAAAATGTGCCATTTTTGAGAATTTATCTATGACCATAAGGATTGTGTTAAATCCGTTTGAACTGGGCAGATCCACCATGAAATCCATGGCTAAATGGGTCCATGGAGCATTAGGTATCGGCAGTGGTTGTAGCAGCCCAGGAGGAGATTTGTGAGAGGCTTTAGAAACAGCACATATTTGACATGCCGCTACATAATCTTTGATGTCGTTCCTAAGTGTAGGCCACCAGAACCTCCTGGAGATAGCAGAGAGAGTTTTATGGACTCCAGGATGACCTGCTGTCAAATTATCATGGAATAATACAAGTACCTTTTTTCTTAATGGTGGTGAAATGTACAGTTTATCCGTAGGTCTCTCCACGGGTGCCTGAGTTTGATCTGCTATTATGGCACAGAAGAGTGGAGAAGACACTTCGGAAATTGTAGTGGCAATAAGGCATTCTGGAGGTATGATAGGGAATACCTCTTGTTCAGGAACCTCATCTGTCTCAAACTGCCTAGACAGGGCATCTGCCTTGGTGTTCTTGGTCCCGGGCCTACACGTAATTACAAAATTGAATCGGGAGAGGAACAATGACCATCTAGCCTGACGAGAGGTCTTAGCGTCCCCAATATAAGCCAAATTCGTATGATCGGTAAAATTCAGAAGTGGCTCTTTGGAACCTTCTAAGAGATGCCTCCATTCTTTAAGTACAATGGCCAATAACTCCCTATTCCCAATGTCATAATTTTTCTCTGCAGGTGTTAGTTTTCGAGAGAAAAACCCACAGGGATGTAAAGGCGCATCGGGACTTTCTCTTTGAGACAGAATGGCTCCTACTCCTGTTTCTGATGCATCTACTTCTAGAATAAATGGTTTGGTCGGATCGGGATGTGTCAGGACAGGTGCTGAGGCAAATAAAGATTTTAATTGCTCAAATGCCTCCTTCGCTTCCTTGGGCCATGAATTGCAATTTGCTCCTTTTTTGGTTAGGTTGGTAATAGGAGAGATTACAGAGGAAAAACCTTTAATGAACTTGCGGTAATAATTCGCAAAACCTATAAAGCGTTGTGTAGCTATAAGGCCTTTGGGTAATGGCCATTGTAAGACTGCTTCCAATTTGCATGGGTCCATTTTGAAACCAGACGGAGATATAACGTACCCAAGAAATTGTATCTCAGTCTGGTCAAATTGGCATTTCTCCAGCTTACAGTAGAGGCCGTTCTTTAACAGGGTTTTTAGTACTGTTCTCACCATAGGCGTGCGCAGCCTATTGCATTAGGGTGTGCACCCTAAAGCACAAACACACGCCGCGCGTGTGTGTGTGTGTATATATATATATATATATATATATATATATATACACATATATATACACATATATATACATATATATACACATATATATACGTATATATATATTCACAGACACACACACTCACACTCACAGAAACACACACATACTCACACACTCACAGAAACACACACATACTCACACACTCACAGACACACACACACACACTCACTGACACACACACACTGACACATACTCACACACTCACTGACACACACACTCACAGACACATACTCACACACTCACAGACACATACTCACACACTCACATTGACACACACACTGACACATACTCACACACTCACTGACACACACACTCACAGACACATACTCACACACTCACAGACACACACTGACACACACACACACTCACACACACACTCACTGACACATACTCACACACTCACAGACACACACTGACACACTCACAGACACACACACACACTGACACACACTCACAGACACACACTGACACATACTCACACACTCACAGACACACACACACACAAATTATTATATTTTAAAAAAAAATTTAAATGTCCACCCAGCCTCCTACCTGGAGTGCTGGTGGACTTGTCCCTGGGGTCCAGTGGGGGCGGGCGCCTCTCTGCAGGTCAGCGCGCGGCGAGGGAGCTCTCTGCTCTCTGCTTCCTCTCGCCGCGCGGGCTGTCTGCTGGAGCTGGGAGCCGGAATATGACGTCATATTCCGGCTCCCGGCATCAGCGCGCGGCGAGAGGAAGCAGAGAGCAGAGAGCTCCCTCGCCGCGGCTGAGCTGCAGGGTGGGGGGGGTAATCATCACCTCTTGCCCTCCCATGACAGGGGCAAGAGGTGAAACAGGGGGCACTGAGTGCCTGCAGGAACAGCGTTCCTGCTCAAAAGAGTGCAGGAACGCTGTTCCTGCAGGACTCAAACCATAGGGGTGCGCACGGGGATTAGGGTGTGCCCAGGCACACCCGGCACACCCCGTGCGCACGCCTATGGTTCTCACATGTTTGTGATGTGCCTCTAAATCTGGGGAATAGATGAGAATGTCGTCTAGATACACTAAAACAAACATGTGGAGATATTCTCTAAGGACATCGTTAATGAAATCCTGAAACACCGCTGGGGCGTTGCACAGTCCAAACGGCATAACAAGGTATTCGTAATGTCCCATTCTCGTATTAAATGCAGTCATCCACTCGTGCCCTTCCTTAATTCTGACTAGGCTGTAAGCACTTCTGAGGTTGAGCTTAGTGAAGACTCAGGCCCCTTTCAACCTATCAAAAAACTCAGAAATAAGGGGAATGGGATAGGCGTTTTTTATCGTTATTCTATTCAAACCCCTAAAGTTTATACAAGGGCGTAGGTCTCCTTCTTTTTTAGAAACGAAGAAGAACCCAGCCCCAGCAGGTGAAGAGGATTTACGTATGTGACCCTTTCTGAGAGCATCCTTTATGTACTCTTCTAAACAAAGATATTCTTGGGGAGATAGTGCATATACTCCTCCTTTAGGGGGCATAGTGCCTGGTAACAAATTTATGGCACAGTCGTAGGGTGGTGGTGGTAATACCTCCGACTGTACCTTGTTGAATACCTCACTTAAGTCTAAATACTGCGGTGGGATTTCTGTGGTCAAGGGAGGCGCTATAGGTATATTGAGGGTACCAATTCATTGTTGCACCTGTTTTAAACAAATACCTCCGCATCTCTCACCCCAACTCACAATTTCTCCTTCAACCCAATCTAAATGTGGATTGTGTTTCTGGAGCCAAGGGAAACCCAATATTATCGGACATGTAGGTGAAGATATAATTTGGAAAATCAAAGATACCCACTGAGACAGTGATTGGCAGGGTTTTGTGCATGATGAGAGGCTGGGTAAGAGGTCTCCCATTGATAGCATCTACTGCTATGGGTCTATCTTTCTGCCTTAAGGGCAGGAGATGTTTGGCAGAGAATTCCTTGTGTAGAAAATTCTCCGCTGCCCCAGAGTCAATCATAGCCTCACACTGTACAGTGGTTTTCTTACAAGACAAAGTAATTTTTATAAGGAAACGGTTCTTAGTCAATTTAGGGGACATATACATCACACCTAAGGTCAGTCCCCGAACGTGCCTTAGGTGTGCAAGTTTTCCGGCCGAACTGGACAAGAAAACCTTTGATGTCCCCTTTTGCCACAATACAAACACAACCCCTCATTGCGTCTGTGTTGTCTCGCTGCCTCAGTGAGTTGAGCAATGCCCAGTTGCATGGGTTCAGGTTCTGGAGGTGGAGCATGGCTAATTACCACTGGGTTAGAGAAACGAGGGGCTATGGATAAGTTAGAATGTCTAGTATGCTGTTTGTTTTTCTCTCTCTCTCTGAGCCTGTTATCAATGTCTATCATGTATGCAATAAAGTCATTAAGGTTAACTGGAAGATCTCTGGCTGCGGTCTCGTCTTGTATATTTTCTGCTAAACCTTCAGAAAAAGCAGCCACCAAACAGCTATTGGTCCAGTCAACCTCAGACGCCAACGTCCTGAACTCTATGGCGTAATCCGCTACAGAGCGGTTGCCTTGTTTTATTCTCATTAGGACTCAAAAGTAGTTTTAAAAGCTGTTAGGAATACATTGTAATCACGGGCAACTGGATTTCCACTCTCCCATAAGGGATTAGCCCAGGTTAAAGCCTTACCCATTAATTGGTTCATTAGCCAATTTTCGATCTATCTGTCGGGAATGAACCAGGGGAGGCTTCGAAGTGATATTCAATTTGGTATAGAAAACATCTAAATTCCTTAGAATCACCTCCAAAATGAGGGTGAGGTGAAAGGGTTATGGACGGTGGTTTGTGTGCGGAGCCAAAGGCGGTAACGGAGGTGCCTCCAGATAGACAGTTCTCTGGAGCAAGGTCTTGAATGCTTGGGCAATTTGATCTAACCTGTGGTCCATATCCTCCACCCTACTCTCACAGGCAATCATATGTTTGCATAGTTCCGCAGGATCCATTGCCCTGTCGTAATGTCACGGCTGCTAGTGTGGTCCAACACGCAGAAGCTATGTAAACATATACATAAAAAAAGGAAGGAAATAAAAGGACAGAGCGTAAACCGGACCTTAGAATGGCCGGACTAATATGCTAGAGATAGAGAATGGTCAAAGGGAAAGCCGAGGTCAAGGAAGCCAGAAATACTCAGATACCATTTAAACAAGCCAAGTCAGGGGAACAAGAATTCGGAATAACCAGGGAAAAGCCAAGATCAGGATACCAGGAAGTCAGATTCACAAAGATAAACGCACTCTCGGGAACCAGGAACAGGAAACCACGACAGGGCAAGGAACTGGAGTGAATTAGGGATTTAAATATCCCTCTCTGGACTTTGATAGGTCAGAGGGTGACCTCTGACCCCAGAACGTGCACGTGCGTTGACGTCGTGATGTCACGCAGTCAACGTCGGTATAAATTTGAGGGGCGGAGCTTGTGGTGTGCGCGACCACGTGGTCAGCGCCATCTTTGATTTGGGCGGAACGCCCAGAAATTGCAGAGGAGCGGTTCCCGGCTCACCGGCGAGCAGATAAGCTCGCAATATCGGCGAGGTCGTGCCGGTCGGGCACGGCTGCGCCATGCAGCGGGCTGGGAGCCGTAACAAAAATACAATTATTATTTTTGGAACTATTGGTTCCCTGAAATGCAAAAGGCTTCAGTGAGGCAAAAGGTACAATAAAGCACAGTTGTTGACAACTGGGGTCAAGGGAGGCACCACAACATCACAATGGATATTTATTAAGACATTCTGAAAAGTGCTGATTAAATGCTGACTTTTTTTGTTATATTTATATATAAGTTTTCTGAAGGTGATTTAAAAAGTGATGTGACTTTTTCTTCTTCATATTAAATTGATCATTAAAACATATTAAACAGTTTTTTTCCTAGAAATATTCATTCTCGTAGACCGCCACACAGTACACTTTTCTGTCTGTCAGAAAAAAACTGGCGTAAATTCTGATAAATCAGCTGTGTCACCAAAAAAAAGGTTAAAATCAAAACATATTCAAAAATGATGGCTTCGGGAGCAAAAGAAACAATAGATAAAAAATATTGATAGATTTAATAAATTGCACCCAAAAATTAGAATTACATGCAAACACACCGCTGCAATCCAGCTTGTATAGCATCATGGGAATTTTATGACAGATGGGGATCTAGCTTTTGGACACCCTTGCGCTAAATGGGACCCCAAAATTTATTTTGCTGGGACCCTCTCTACATTAGTTCTGCCTCTGGGGCGGGGATAATGTGACTAGATCTCGGGAAATGAGAGGAATATGATGCTGGTGGTAATGTGAGTGGGAATATGAGACAGGGTGCAAAAGGAGCAATAGAACTGGAGGTAATCTGATTGGTACTTTGATGCTTTGGGGGAAAAGTGGACTAAGAGGCAGAACAGAATATATTTGGGCTTACGGCAAGGAAGATGCTCATAAAATTAAAGGATTGACACCGTGGATGAGATCATCATATAGGAATTGAGAAGGAACTTGTCTGCTTTCAGTGGAACCCATATTGAAAGACACAAGATTTAGATACATTTCAGAATTGGAGGTCTTCTCCATGTGGCTACAATGATCTCAGTTTTAGTTCCGGTTCTCACTTTTGATAGTTCTGCTTAGGCCCTTTTTTTTATTTATATTCACCTCCCCATTCAACTTCCTCTTATTTTTCCTGTGATCTACCCCAAGCAACCCATTCAGCCCTGTTCCTTCCTCTATTTAATGCATGTTCTAGTATTAGTTCCAATCACGAGTTATAGTTATGAGAAAACTCATTATTAATCACTTAGAAATCTGTAAAATAATATACACACGTATGCATATATAAACGCACACACACATACACACACAGACACACACTCACAGACACACACACAGATACCTGGAGAGCTGGCGTGGACCTGTCCCTGGGGTCCAGGTGAGCTTCACTGCGGCCTGCGCCTATCTCCCTGTCAGACGCAGTGAGGGAGCTGTGTTCTCTCTGCTCTGCTCCCTCTCGCCGCGTGGACTGTCTACCGATGCCTCCTGTCATCGCAAACAGCGCGCGAGGGAGCAGCGAGAACAGCTCCCTTGCCGCGTCTGACAGGGAGACAGGCGTCCGCCGGGGGGGCCGATCAGGCCACCTCTTGGGCCCCCCATGACAGGGGGAACACGGGGAGCATGTGTGAACGACATTTTTTGCCGCCCCGAGTTCCTGCAGGAGCAACGGGAATGGTGTTCCTGCTGTAAAAAAAGTACAGGAACGCCATGCCCACGCGCTCCTGCAGGACTCGAGCCCTGGATAAGCCGCTAAAACTAACCACCACTGAGAGATAAGCAAATTAAATCAGTTGTTATGACGCAATATGGCTTTATAATATATAGCTAGGTAAGGATGCAAGGACGCCCTAGGCAGTAGGCTGGCATTGTAAGTGGAGGAGAGAGTCACCGACTCCTATAGTTGTCAAGCATGGGAGGTAAGCTGGCCTTCCACTGGCAATGTTAGCACTCTGGCTTTAAGGTAAGTTAACTTGCCAGCCCCAGGCTTT